ATTTGAGCAAGTCCCTGGTGATAATGGTGAAGGAGGGGATGGTGGTCTCAGGGTGCTGGTGAGGTTAGGCATGGTGATAGTGGTGACAGTATAGGGACAGGGTAAGGAGCTGGCTTGGGAGGTCCTGCTTGGGTACTGAACTGGGAGGGCAGACGATGAGACAGGAATCTGGCCTGGTCTGTGCCCCAGCTCTGGAACCCTTGGGAAATTTGGGCTCCTAAGGCTTCTCCCTGGAGCTTTGGGGGAAGACATGTTCTTGGACCCCTCCTGATCTGCCTCCACCTTTTATATACCCAGCAGAGAGCCTTTCTGTCGCTCTCATTCACTAAAAGAAACCTGAGACAGAATGAAGAGGGGCCCCAACGGAGGCTGCAGAATGGGGCAGGTGCAGGGTGGAAAATGCAAGGAGAGCGCTCACTGGACTCCACAGGTGCCTTTTGCAGGTGACAGGCCCAGAGACTTGTACTCCCAACTTGACTTCCAACCTGCCCCACCACGGTTTGCTGCCTAGGCCTGGGCCTGGTCTCCATGTGTGGCAGGTGGGAGAAGTGAACTGGACCTTGGTTGGAGCCAAGATCATCATGAAAGACAAGAGAGAAATGGATGTGGAGACAGAGACAGAGGCTGGAGGAAGGAATGGAAGGAGGGCGTTTTGGGGAGGCAGGGTGCACAGACCTAACCATGGGTCCAGATGGTCCTTCTGAGACCTCTTGTTCAGCCCTGTAGGCACAGCTGTGACAGGTGCCTGGTCACAGGCACTGTCATTGGTCACCTGCCTAACTGAAGATGGGACTCAGTGGGTTTGGGAGAGCTGATAGGACCCACCCTGGGGTTGGAGTGGGGGGTATGCAGGTCAGGGGAACAGAGGCTCTGGCCAAAAGCAGTGAAGTGGGAGTTAGCAGCCTGACACTAGGCCCTGTCCAGTGGTGAGGTGTTGACTGTGCGGGAAGCCTAGAGGCTCAGGGCTGAGTCTGTGAGGTGTCCCTGAGTGGCAAAGCGGGTGGCTGAAATTGGCCCCTTATCCTAGCCTCCCCGGGTTGGCCTGGGCTTCTGGCTAGCCTTTATCTGGAGCCCCAGCTATGGCCGCAGGAAGTGGCCGTTTCTCTGTGCTGTGCTGTCTCCCCACCAGAGCTGGTGATAACGTGGGGGAGGGGTGTGGTGGCGTGGAGGGATTGAGCAACACCTTATAGTGGGGGACATGGGGAGACTCCAGGCACATGACCTCTGACTTGCTGGCCTGGGTAGGGTTGGGGGTAGGGTTTAGACCCTTCCTGCCTGATAGCAGCACTGCACAGAGGAGGCTGCCTGGGCACAAGGATTACAGGTCACCCATGAGACTTGGCAGGGGTGGCGGGCCCAGCTGCATCCAGTGACCACTGATCTGTGACCCCAGGGCCTGGTACACAGGAAGCCCTCTTCTCTAGCCCATTTTGACCCCCATGTTCCAACCCCTATGCTGAACCCCCAAACCTTCCCAAATGTCCTTTTCACCTTCCCAGATGTCTTCTTCCTCCTCCATGGCCTTAGCCCAGACTAGGCTCACTCAGCCAATCACCAACCAATTCCGGGGGTCTTTGTCCAACCTACAGTCCCTGCCCCTCTGGTGGGCCCTGGAAAGTCAGTGTTTGAGTGTCCAGAGCTAGTGGGAAGTTGAGGGCCAGAGAGTCTCTTGACACCCTGACTGACATAATCTTCCCACCTGTGCCCTCAGGACTATTCCAGCCTTCAAGGCCTCTGCCTACCCAACCTGCTTCCACAGCTACCCCTACCACTGGTGCTCAATAGAGCCCTGCAGTAGACCCCTGCAAGCCCAGAGCTAGGGTCAGGTGACCATGGAGCCCAAAGTGCTCCCCCAGCCCCTCCCAGCTTCCCCTGCTGTCTCCTGGTGCTGTCCGAACTGGGCTAGTTAATGGTTTGCTGGGTTTCATTATCAGCCAAATGATAATGACTCTTTTTAATTAGGGTCACCTGTGTGGAGGCTCTAGGAGGCCCAGCAGGTACTGGGGGAGACTGGGGAGCCAATACCTCATCTCTCCTCCTGCAGGTCCCACCAAGTGCTCTCACTAGAGCCCTTGCTCCTGCTGTTCTCTACCAGAACATCACCCTTCCTCTCCCTGGCAAACCTCTCTCTTTAAGACCTTGCCCTGGTGGCCCCTTGGCCTGAAGCCATCCCTCACCATAGTCACAACCATGGACAACAGACATGGCTAAGCTAGGAGGCCATGAGCAGGGCTGGCCTTGGCTTCTTGAAGGGAACCTGGAAAGCTAAGTCCCATGTGGAGGCTGCCCAGGAAGAGAAGGCTGAGAGGCCTGAGGCCTGAATCAACCCAAGGGTGAGCTGGCACTGAGAGGGTCCAGGACCACTTTGAGCGAGACTCTGGGTCTGAGGAATGGGGGTGAGGAGCCCCCCTCCCATCCCACCAAGTCCTGAGGAAGAGACCCCACCAACATGCCAGCCCCTGTATCCTAAAGAATAAACTGGCCCTGGACACACATCCCCTCCCTATGCACACTGGACCCAACACCCCTCTTCTTCACCCTCCTCCCACACAGATATACCAGAGACATACAGCCTGACAAACTCTTGCTGAGTACACACAAATACACACACTCACCCAGAGACAAGATCCAAACACACACCCAGAAACTGACAAACACCGGTACCTGGGACACGGGGACACATACATACCCACATATACCCAACTTCCCCTTACACACCTCCACACCTCCACAGTCAACCCACATTCCTTACCCCACTCCCCGCTTCAACAAACACACATATGCACTGCCAGGAAGACAGAGGCGGCCCCTGCTTCTGCCTGGGCTCCTAGGACTTCCCCTTTACAAGACTTTATCTATCAAAAATATACTAACCCAGAATTCTGTTTCCATCAGAGTCTCAATTCCAGGCACATTTCCTAGACTTATCTCATTCCTAGTGCATTAGCCTGGCTGGTCCAGGGCCTGCCAATCACAGCAGTCCCTCCTGTCCCAGCCTGTGGCAGGATGCCTGCCCATGACTTCATTCTAGATGGGCATGCAGGTTGGGGAGCAGGGCATGGGGCAGCAATGCCATGCCTCGCTCCCCCACTCCTCAGTCAAAGCAGAGGGCACTTTGTTACAAGGACACGCATACCTAAGGCACTATAGCTGGCGGTGGGGGGGGGGGGCGGGGTTGGTGACTCTGGAGTCATCCAGAACCTGGGTTCAAATCACACTTCTACCTGAGGCAATAGCTGCATCAACCCAGTCCCCCCAACCTCAACCTGTAAAATTGGAGTGACACTTCAAAGGCAACCCCTATAGCAGTTTCAGTGAGTTTATGAAAATGATGGTGGCTGCAGTGGCTTAGCACAGCATAGCCAGGGGAAAGGGACACAGTCCTCAGAATACTGGGCACTGGCCCTGACCGTGCCCACCAGTGCCACTGTGCTTTCCCTTTTAAGGGATCCCTGGCCAAATGGAGACCCCTCCCAGGTTAGTGGGCCATACCAAAGGCCACCTCACTGCGCACTCTGGGAGGCCCCTCCCTGCAGCATAGCCACAGGCTGCTCTCTCTTCCCCTCAGTCCCTCAGTTTCCTCCACCTGACCCCCTCTCTGGGGTTTGAGGAGTGCTGTCTTCAGGAGAGATGTGAAGTAGGGAGAAAGGAATGGGGACCTGCACAGAGATCCTGTTAAAATGTGCAGTGCTGAGTCTGGGGCTGCCTGTACCACTCCTGAGAGGCTTGTAGGCCCTTCATCTCTCAGTGGAAGACTGTGTCTGCTGACACCACTTCCAGGACTGTGTGTAATATGATGGCCAATATTGTGCCCAGGTGACTGAACCACCCCATTGAACAGCTTCTTTCATTCTTACTTTGTGCATGCGGATACACAGGCTCGTTTCCTGGCCAGTAAGCAGAATGGCCAGGACTAACCCAGCAGTGGCTTGAGTCCATCCTATGTCTGTTTATATCTCTACCCCCACGAATCTGTCCCAGAACTCGTTCCTGCTTACTAAACACCCCTTTATGACCACTGGGAGTGGTGGCTCTACTGGGTCACATGGCCCCTCACTTAAAAAGAGGGACAGTGATGTGGCCAAGGTCTTACAGCCCATGCAGAGCAGGGACCTTCAGCTGAGTCCAAGCTACTCTTTATCCCAACTTGCGGTGATCCCCAGAGGATGGAGGGATTATCCTTACACCCTTGGTCACAGAGGACTTGACCTGGCTTAGGTTGGTACCTAGTAGATCTGGCCTTACTCCCTCACACACTGAAGATGGTGGTGGATGATTTCTTCATCTAACAGGAAAGTCCTGAGAGACCCCAGGACTCTCATCTGCCCATCTGTGTTCATTCTAAAGGGCTGAGTGGCCATAGGAGGTGGCCAGCCCAGGACCTGGCACCAGCAGGTGCTCATAAAGGTCTTTCCTGCTCCTGAGGCTGGGCTGGGGTTGTAGGACCTTGCCCTGGAGTCTTCCCTGGGAGCCCACTGCCTCTCTGAGGTGGCTCAATCTGTACAAGGAGATGATCTTTGGTGTAGGGGTCGGGGCCATACAGGGAGGACCAGAACCTGGCCTGCAGTGGGGGGAGGGCCATGCAACAGTCCCATTGCTTTTTTTTTTAAAAAAAGATTTTGTTTATTTACTTTTAGAGAGAGGGGAAGGGAGGGAGAAAAGGAGAGAAACATTGATTGGTTGCTTCTCTTAAGCACCCCTGACCAGGAATCAAACTGGTGACTTTTCAGTTGAGACACACCGGTAACGGCCCCACTGCTCCTATTGGAGGTGCTCTCTCAGGTTGTGGCAATGGAGCTCCCAGGATCTGAGAGTCAGCCCCCTGGGGAGCCCCCCATAGCAGCTGCAGGAGCTGTGGTCAGAGCACTGTTTCACTCTCCTCAAACTCTCCTTCTGGTTCATTCCAGCACAGGGGGAAAAGGAGGCTGGGCCTGGGCTGGCCACCCAGCTCTCAGCTGTTGCCCTTGACTCTGGTTCCCTGCCTGACATTTGGGTCCCTCGTAGGGCCAGTGAGGGTCACTGGCCAGCCACCTTCACCTGCACCATTTTACAAAGGGCCTTGCTCTGTCACTGGTATGTGCAATGAGGGCTGCCTGCTGCTAGGCACACAGGGACAGTGTGTTCTGTAGCACCACTCTGTTCTTCCTCTCTGCCCAAAGCTCTAGGGCTTAACGCCACCAAGACATTTGATCAAAATCTGTTCCTGTTCTTACTTTTAATGTCATTGTTGCAAATTAAAGCATAATTCACTGATTACCAGGATAAAAGTGTAGCTACTGCGTCCATCTGGAGGCCAAATAAAGTAACGTTGGAACATCTGTCCATCCTATGGATGTCTTTAAAACTTTTGATTTCCCCTCAGTCAGTTCTGCTATTTCATCCTTTTCTGAGTATCAACAGCTTGGGCCTCAAGGTGGGGTGGCCTGTTGGTGCAGGGGGCAGAGAAGCAAAGGCAATGTTCACATCCCTTGGCTTATAGTATGATCTGTGCAGGGCTGTCACCGGCCCTCATCTACACACTGTGGGGAGAGTAGGTGACCCAAATTCAAGGTCAGAGGCATAGGAACTCCTAGAGTCAGAATGAATGAGCAACCCCTCCAGTCCAATGCCTGGGCCTGGTGCCCTGCTGATCCCTGACACCCCTCAAATGTCTTCTGCACTTGGATGCCCAGAGAACACCTGTGCCCCCTGAAGGCCCAGGAGATGCTGGGGACCACTCAAACTAGGCTAGGGGCCCAACAACTTGTGGACTTCTCAGCCCACTGGGTTGAGTTGGGTCTATCCCCCAGACACCTTGGCAGGAGCCCTGGTCGTTCCCGACATTTCTGGGTGGCAAGGAGTTGAGGGAAACCCTCATGTGAAATCACTGAGACACCAGCAGTGGGGGGTACCATGAGGCATTTATTTGAAGCTGGCAAGTACCCAGCTGTTGAGGGGGACAGGGTGGGGAGTAGCCCTCAGTCACCTCTAGCTGGCAGCCTCGGAGATACTGGCCATCAGCTCTCCATCTGAGTCCCATTCCTCCTCGGGTGCTGTTCCCTCACAGGACACTGCCTCCTGCTGGCCCCTGGCCTTCTAACTGGGGCTGAATGCTGGGTCTAGGGGTCTGCTGCCTGCAGAGCTGTGGGGAGAGACTACAGGAGGTCGAGGCACATCTAGCTGGGCATTTGGCACTGCGGCCCAGCCTGGACCCAGGCAAGGTGGCCCTGGGGCCACTCAGGGAGACTGGACCATACGCTTGTGGGTGTCGAAGATATAACGCTTGAAAGACAGGCTGAGTGTCACATGCTGCGTAGTTTCCGGCCGCTCCATACCCTCCTCTTGCTTGGCTACCTCCCCTCCACTGGCCCGGCACCGCTTTTTGAGGGAAAGTGTCAGGATCTTCTTGGATTCAAGGCTGAGGCCACCTGCAAGGCACAGAGAAAAAAGCCTGTCACTATGCCACTTCTCAGTCTGCACACTCGCCATCCTGGATGGGCACCTGTACTGGCCTACCTTTACACTCCCTTAGGCTGAGCCAGGACCCCAACATCCCTTCTGCTTCCCTCTCCAACCAATGGACCCCTGAGGCCTGTGGTCCATTTTGTCACCTAAATCCCTGCATGGTAGCCCTTCCCCTGTGCAAGTCCATGACACTGGTCCATCCAGTTTAGAGCTCAGCAGTACTCCCCATCTTGGTCTCCTGCCCTTGTACCTACCCATCCACCCTGTACTCGGGTCCCCAAGGGGATCAACCCCATACCAGTGGCCGTGTCCTTCCTCTGCTCTAAATGGTTCTGTTGCTTTCTAGCACACTCATGCTGGGACCCACACCCAAAAACTGAGGCCCACTGGCCTAGGTGTTCTCCACCCTCCCTGCCTCTGTGGCATGGGAGGCTGACCTCTGCCGGCAACATCGGGGGCTCCAATGGCCTCTGGCCTCTAATTGGGTTTAGCCAATGGAAACAACAGATCAGAAGGTGAGAGAACAGCTGGGGTGTTGACCCCACTCCTTTGGCTAGAACTTCTATTGGGGGTCCTTCTCCCCAGGCACTTGGAAGATGCTATTCCCCTGCTCCCAGGACTCCCTCCTCCCCACCATGTCTTACCAACTCCTTTGCCTGTACGTGCTTTGGTACAGACCCTCTGTTCTCTCCCTCCAGTCAAACTGTTGAGTGGAAAGCTGCTTCCTGATGACACCTCACTAAATAACTCTTCCAGCCCTGCCAGCACTATTTTGGTGTTCTCCCTATAGCCTTGAGGAACACTGGCCTGTTCCTGGGCTCCTGTCACACTTGAGCCTTTGCATACACTGTTCCCTCTGCCTTAAACACCCTTCCTTCCCTGGCCCAATAATCCTGAAATACAAGGCTTCAGTACTCTTTCTCGGGGGCTTATTTTTATGAGGAATCTGCCTGATTATAGTACGGTGCAGCCTCCTTGTGTGCCACTGGACTGGATGAGGCCATCTGGCTGGCCCTGAGCACAGCTCTACATCCGTGGAGTAAGCTGCTTACCTTCTGTGAGCACTACAACCCTGCTAAGGGAGTCCTGGTGGGAGCAAGCTGGCAGGGCTGTGGCAAGGTTGCCCAGTGGGTGGCAGTACCTGGGACTTCTACTGAGGGTGCTGGGTATGAAACCTTCATAATCTGATGAGGGGAAAGTGGGGTGCAACCCAGCCCACACCCTGCTTGCCAAATGAGGGGTCCTGGTAGGCCTCTGAGTCTCCCAGAGAGGGCACTCCTGATTTGCTTAGAGGGGCTACATCTGCCACTAGTTTTAGAGGCAAGGAGTCTAGAGCTGGCAAGAAGTTGGGGATAAGCACAAGGAAGAGGGCTCCCTGCCTTGTATGTGCTACTCTGCCTCTGCTAGCACCTAAAGGGGTTCCTCCCTGCACCCATCTTTGCCTGGGTGCTAGCTCTGAAGAGAAGCCAGCCGTGGAGCTCAAGCATCATGCTTTAGTGCTGAGAGGACCTGGCCTGGTGTCCCTCAACAAGGAAGGGAATGCTGCGCGGCAGGGGCAGGCAGGCTAGCAGTGGCTTAAACCAGGCAATCCATGCATGCTTGTTGAAGATTTCAGCAACCCCTTCAGCTTGCAGATGAGAAACTGGAGCTTCAAGGAGGGCAGCGATTCACTTGAGTCCCCACACTGAGCCAAGAGCCAGGATTTAATCCCCGGGCTTGCGTCTGATAGCAAATGCAGGCTACTGTCCTCCAGCCCATCACTCCAGGAGTCCACCTTAAGCAGATTCCTAAAAATGGCTCTGCAGTGGAATTCAAGCTCCAAGAGCATCTTACACTGGCCCTGCAGTTCCTGGACATTTAAAAAAGTGGGCAGGAGACTGGTTCAAGGGATACCTGCAGAGTCGGCAAGCAACAGCGCTGCCCACGACAGGAAGGACTCTTGTCTTCCTCACCACAGGCAAAGGTGACACTGCAAGCTATTGCAAAGCCTGCATCACCTGGGAAGGCTGAGGCACACAGCTGATGTTAATGGGGCTCCAGAATGCTATGGACCTTGGGGGTCTGCACCAAGAGGAGTACCCCCTGCCAGGCGCAGTGTGTCTACTCACAGGCCCCACACCCTGTTGGTTTACACACCTCTGGATTGGGGCAGGGAGCATAGGAATGGCACTGGGCCAGCCCCTACGAGCAAGTGCCAGGCCTGCAGGTATCTGAATCTCTGAATATGAGCCCTGGCCTTCCTTCTGCAAACAGAGAAGGTGGCTGGCACCAGATGCTGACAAATGGCATGGGTGGCTTGTCTCCCTCTGGTGCCAGGAGGTCTGATGGCTGAAGAAGGGGGCTCCTCAGTGTCTGCGTCTGGCTAGGAGACAGGTGTGGCCCAATTGGTGGCCCATCTTGCCTGAGATGGTTCTCAGTGGCATACCGCCCACTGCCCAAAACAATCAGAGCTGGAAAATCTATCTGGCACTGGTGAAGGTGTAGATATTTAATTGCTCTTCTGAGGTGGTCCGGCGTGTTTACTGCTCAATTGCAGGGTGGCCTGGACAAAATGCCTAGAAAGCCTGACTGATACAGGCTTTCAGCCGGGGCTACTGGGCTGTTCAGATTCATGGCAAATGTCACTGAGAACTGCTTTCTTCTCAGTGGCTTTTTTCCTCTTAGCCAGTGGCAAATTAAGGGAAGTGAAGGGAAGGTCAGAGTGTTGGGTGACTGGAGCCGTTGTCTACACCTTCCAGGCTCAGTGGCACTCAGTCCTGAGCCATCTTGAGGTTCTCTCAACCTGCTCCTGGCCTTTCACTCAAAAACATCTGGGGACACTCCAGGACTGGGAAACACTGGTGGTGAACATGCAGACCAGGGCCCAGGCCCCACGGAGTTCACTAATCTGAAAAGGGGCAGACAGTAATCAAGTGAACAAGATAATGCAGATAGCCACCAGACAATCAAGGAAACAAAACCACTATATCCCTGGGAGTGGAGGGTGGCCAGGTCCCATGTGCCAAGGACAGACTTCTCTGAGGAAGAATGCTGGAATGGGGGCCAGATGTCATGGGGCCAGCCACATGAAAAACTTGGGCAAGGTTTTGTGGCAAAGGGAGTTTGAATGCCATGTCCTAGGCATGTGCTCTGTGGCATACCACATCCATTAAGGTATCTCATGTATCCTGCTCTGCAGGAGCCCAAAACAGGGAGGGTCCTGGAGACCTGCAGAAGCCATGCACCAACTTATGGGTCAGAGTGGTGAGAGTGGTAGCTGAGTGCTAATTGTTCATCTGCCCAGTGTCCACCAGGATTCCTAAGCATTTCCTGTAGGCCTTGGGGACACAGAGGCAAGCAGGACCTTCCTATTCTCATGGAGCTGCCATCCTCTCTTAAGTTCCCTCTGGGAGGCTAAGCAGTAGTGAGTGGTCTCTCCTGGTATGGCTCCTGGCCTCTGGCTTCTGCATCTCCCTCTTCTCATGTGACCTGGCCCATATTGCACCTTGAACTGTCCCCTTGCTACAGCACACCAGACACATTCCCACCTGGGCCTGTGCATTTGAAGATTCCTCTCCCAGGAGTCTCAATGGCTCCCAGGCTTACTTTCTTAGAATTACTGTGAAAATGTCACCTCCTGGTAAGGACTTCCCAATCACTTTCAACCCCCACCCCCCATGCCCTGATCCTTCCTACCCCACTCTATTTTCCATGGCTATCATCACCTTCTAACATATGTTATTATTTCCTCATTATCAAATGTAATGGTTGGTTGTGTGCACCTGCTAAAATATAAATCCAACCTCAGCAGTGATATTTTTTCTATCTATTCACCCTATAAGCCCAGTACCTAGAACCACCACCTATATAGATGCTCAAAAGAATACTGCTGAATGAATCAGTACTGGATGAGGTCCCACTGGGCAAGAACTGGCTGCTAAGCTCCCCAAATGGTCACAGCATGGACCTAGCAACCCACTTCTAGAAATTCAGTCCTATCAAGCAACTGATATTTGTGTCACCATGCATGGAGGTGCTTAATCTTCACAACACAATGTGGAAAAAACAGGCCCAGAAGAACAGTAACTGGCCCCAGGTCACTCAGCTCTGGAGAGGCAGAGATGATGGACTGACTCAGTGAGGCTACCTGATGGTCTGTGTGCCCACAAGGAAGAACGTGGTGAGACTAACAGGAGGGCAATCAGGACAGGAATAGCATACATTTGCTATGGTATAATGTTCTGGGGGATGAAAAGTGATACCTGAGAAAAATTTAAAGCCTCACAAAGACAGACTAATGTTATAATGTTAATTTAAAGAATGTAGGAATCAAAATTTTTGCAAGGGTTCTGCTCCAGCTCTGGGATGCAGAAAGAAAGGATTAGGCGGTTATCTATTAGGACACTGGGGGTCAGTAGTACAGTTACAAGCAATCTTTTTTCTTCTACTTTTTTCTATTTCCCAATGTTTCTACCATGACTCTGGGCATTTATGGGGTCATCTATCACAGGGCTACTGGTGTGTCCTCCTGCACATATGTCTGAGCCCAGAAGAGGCAGTGCCCACCCAGTGCAGTGTGGCTGCTGAGTCCACGGGCACTTGGGGAGGCAGCAGAGGAGAGAGGGCCCCAGGGGATGGATAGGGATGGGGGGCAGGTGATGAAGGCTCTCAGAGGTGCCTGAGCCAGGAAGCCTGCAGCCATATCTAGGCCATGGTATGGTCTCTGCAGCTCTTTGGCTCTGCTCAGTGCAAGATGGGTCTGAACAGAACCTTGGGGATAGGTGATGCTCACAGCTACTTCTTGGCTGTGGAGGTCCATATTTCTTACATTGCTGCTGCACCAAGAGCCGTAACTGAGAGGCACAAGCTTAGGAATTCACTCTCTACAACCTCTCGAAGGCCCACCGCCTGCTCTCCATCTTTGACCCTCTCTGATTCCTCCCCTGCGGTAGAGAGGCTGCTCTAAGGCACAGACAAACCATCT